AAAGCAGGGCACACCCTGCTGGGAGCAGGCTGTGGGCAGGCCGGGCATCCCTGCTGCCATGGAAGGGTGCTGGGTGCTCCAGGGACTCTGTGCAGGTGGCAGCTGGATAGAGGGTTCTGGGCCCCTCCATCCCTTCCCCCTCCCTCCCTCCCCTGATGGTAGGGAGGAGGGATGCCTGTACTGGGAATGAGATTGCCAGGGCCTGTACAGAGCTCACTCCCTCCGTCTCCAGATCTTCCCCGTGCCCTGGCTGGTTTGATGGGGTCTTCTCTTGTGGGCATGGCCCTGTGTTGGTCTGCAGTCTGTGCAAAAGGCCAGGGCAGCCCACAAGTTGTGTTTGTCGAGTCTGCCTCCCTGCCTTGGCTCTCCTGGGAAAAGGGGTGCCATGGTGGGGTGGAACACTTGCCTGGCCAGCATGACCAGCACAGGGCACCTCTCCCAGGCATTGGTCTCAGATCAGCCCCCTCACCTTGCCCCTCTCTCACCTGACACCTTCAATTCCCCAGGGTGAAGGATGCAACCGGACAGCATGGGCAGGGCTGGAGGGACAGGATGCACATGGTGACAGAGGTAAGTCACAGGAATGAGGCTCCCTGGCAGCAGAAGGTGGAGTGGTCTCAGTGGGATGGTCTTGGTGCCTGGAGCAGTGAGATGAGCAGATGTGCTGGACCAGAACTCTTGGGGTTAAGAGTGGCTTTGTAAATACTCTGCTTTAGGCTTCCTACAGGCTGCAGATCATAGCCAGGGAAGGGGGAGTCAGCCCCATCATTTACCAGCAACCAGCGATATGGGGTGTACTGTAAGAAATGGACAAGGCTCCAATCTCTCTCCTGCCATGGACCATTAGGTGGCCTCAGCAATATGACAGCTATAGGTGCTCTGCTCGGAGCCCCTGCAGTTGCCTGGGCAGGGTCATACTCTGTGGGTCAGCCCCACAGTTGCTGTGGGCCTGGAGCCAGCACAGTGCCCACACAGCACCAGCCTGTGTTAGTGAGAACTCTCCTGGATGATCCACAGGCACTTGTCAGCACACAGGGTGTACCTCGATGTGGCTGGCTGTGATGTGGTTAGTGGAAATTACCTGTGGGGCCACGAGCAGGGCTGGGGTCATGGGCCTTGGGGCTGCAGAGTGCCTCTGGCCCATTTTAGCTACATTTGTGCTGCAGAGGTGAGGAAGGTGACAGAGGGAGGCAAGTGATGAGGGCTGGTGGAAACCCAAGGGAAGCAGAGAAACACGGGTGGAGAACTCACACCTTCATGAGATAAGAAAGAGCCTACAGTGACAAACCGTCCCTGTTTGAACTCCATGCAGGGCATAGTCCCATGAGGTGCCTTCAGGTTAGCCCTGCCCTGTGCTCTGGGTATCTGCTGACAACAAGGGGAGCTCTGGGCAGCTGGCCCAGGTACAGACCCCTGACCCATGGACACCCAGCTACATTCAACTAACTCCTCTTGAGCAGTCTGATCCTAAATCAGCACCCGAACTGCTCAGGAATGGCACTGACTAGGCCTTTCCCAGGGTAATGCTCCTTTTTGTGTCTATCTAACATCCCCAGGTGCTTTTGCCCTCACCTGCTGAGTGAAGCTCTCAGCATGTCAGCAGGCTTCAAACCACAGCATTGCATGGAACAGAAGTTGCATGTAGTTCTGAAAGTGTCCAGCTCTGTGGGAAGGACACATACAACTCCTAGGCAGTGCCAAAGATGCCTCTGTCCCTGGTCTCACCCCACACTGCTCCTCCCTGGCTGTGTAAAGGTTGCCCCTAGGCAGACCTCTGGGGCAGTCACTGTGCTTGGTTCAAGCTTTCTTGCCATGCCAGACCCCATGTAAGTCTGTCACAACATGTGCACCACAAATTTGAGTGTTAATTATTGCACAAATGTATTATTAGTACTAGAGCTGTTTTGGTGTTTTCCAAAGGCTGAGAGCCATTGCAAGTTCAGCATCATCTGTGGATGTGGCACTTGGGGACATGGGTTAGTGCTGGACTTGGCTGTACCGAAGGAATGGTTGGACTCAATGATCTTAGTGGATTTTTGTAACCTAAATGATTCTATGACTCAGCAAAGCTAGGAATGGGGGTGTCTGAAATCTGCTGGAGGCATGGGCAGGCAGAGATGGAGCCTGCCCAGGTCATGCTGCCAGCTTGGCCCCAACTGACAGGCTCTGTCTGGTTGCTGTTGTGTAGGTGGTTCCTGAGCAGCTCTAAGAGGAGGGATTCAGTAGCAGTTCTGGCCACTGACCCACCAATTAGGCCAAGCCCTGTACACCACTTCCCTGTCCCCAGATGCTTTCCATTGGGGTGCTGCAGTGCTGGCCCTGCAACCACAGCACTGACCTCACTGCTGCAGCATGGCCGAGGCAGAGACACACCTCAGCGGGGACTGGAGCAAGTCTGGCCCCACATATTCTCCATGTATGCAGTGTCCCATTCTTCCCATGTCACCTCTGCACTGGGCAGGATGGGGGATTCAGTGTCTGGATCTTTGCCCCTTCCTTTATCAGAGCCCACACAGAAGCAGAGACTATTGCAG